ATAACAATTTATTTTTTAAAATAATTTATAAATTTAATAATTTTTTTATTAAATTTATTATATTTGTTTGCTCTAAAATAATATAATCTCTTCTTACCTAATTTATACGTATAAAACTTCTTTCTATTAGCCAAATGGAATATCCTCAAATTGACAGAGAAACGACCAATAAAAAAAAAAATCATATCTAAGGAGTGTTTTAATTTTATCTATTATTGGTGGTGAGAGGAAGATCTTATCCAAACGATGTTTAAATTTTAAAGACGCTCCGACATTAAGATGATAAGACATGTGATGAAGAAAATGATGGAAGAAAAACCAGCATATTCTATTATAGATCCTTTGGGCTTAACATCTCCCTTCTCCCTAGTCTTAATCCACCTCTTCACAATTTTCAAAGGTCATTTGGGATTGTTTCTTATTTTTTGTTTTTGTTATCAAAAGTTTTATCATTTTTATAGAGTAATATTGTTTTATGTTCTCATTGAAAGGATTATTAATTCAGATAATTTGGGTGTGACATATATTTTCAGATGAATTAAATAAATAAAAAAATTAAAATTAGTTTAAAAGTAAATTAAAAATTCAAAAGAAAATACTATTATATATTAAAAACAAATACATAAATTAGTTTTTGATAATATTGTTAAAGATATTTTTAAATTTTGTTCTTACCTTAATTCCTTTGAACATATTAGTTTTACTTTGTCTCAATATCTTAATAATAAAATAATATGATTCAAATTCAAGTCTTTGAAATGAAACACATTTATTATCAATAAAATCAAAATTTGAGATATTAATGATAATTAAAAATTATAATTTTAATCTCTCAATAATAATTTGTTTTCCTCTTTTGATTCACGAATATGAACTTATTCGGTTGATGTATTTTTCAATCCAAATCAAAATTTATTATTATTTTTTTCTTAAATTATTTGGGTGTTAATAATTTTTAGGGAAGTTATAAAAAATTGTGATTTTAATATACTTAATATTAAATTTTAATTTCATAATTTTGAATGTTAAAAGTAAAAAAAATATAAAAAATAAGAGTTTTAAATGTTTTAAAAACTATAACATAATTTTGAAATTTAAAAAAATGAAAAAAAAAAACGGAGGGAGTATAAATTAAGGATAATAAGTAGCGACAAATACTTAATATTTTTCCCTAAATAAAACATGGGCTTAATTTAATGCTTTTGTAACGTGCCGTGTGGGTGTAATGCCAAGCGTATACCTTAAAAAATATTAAAGTAATACATGTTGCTTCGAGTGTCCGTTTCCATTCTCTGTTTTAATGACATGCGAATCTAGGTGACCTGATTCACACAAAACAAATATATAATTAATCAACGTTGAATTTGAGAAAGCAAAAGGCATATCCTTTAGCCTTCAGCTACACATAATTTGTAATATATAGAACATGACATTTCAATTTAGGATTTTGATTTTGATGGACTTTGGAAGTTCAAAAGATGTCTTTGATTTGCAAATGCAAAAGCATAGAAAGTGAGTCTCCCAAATATTATTTATTATGGGGTTACATTAGTTAAATTTTCATATAAAAAAATCATAATTTAATTTGAGAAAAAAAATTATAAATTATAAATTATAAATTATAAATATTAAATTTATTAGATATAATTTTTTAATTAGTAATTGCATTTTAAATTAAATTCATGTTCATAATAGTTAATTTTTAACTATAATAGTTAGAATAAAAAATCTATGTTATTTAATTCTCCAAATGAAAAATTCCGGTAAAACTTAAAATATGGAAAGAAGAGTAACTGAAAATTGGATTCGACTCAATGATAAATGTACGCATTTTTTAAAAAGTCAGCTGAGGGGCTGGCTTGGAGAAACAAGTGGTGGGGGCAATCAATTAAAGCTGACAGAGTGAGTATGACGGGTGGTTCAACGTAGCTAGAGCCCATCACATTATGTTCTTTTAAGTCCAGTCAATTGAAATAAATGAGTAGAAGAGAACAAAGAGGGATCATAATCCATGAGCTTGCCTAGCCCATCGTGGAGTCCATAATCACTTTTGCTAACTTTATTACTGCTTTTTTTTTCTTCCTTAATTTTTCATAATAACCCCTTGAGTAAATATAAAATTTACATTAAAGAAATAAATTTTCATACTACATTGGATTTTGGAATAAGCAAAACTTCATATTTTGATACACATTTTATAAGATCTGGATGTAAAACACTCAAATTGGATTTCTCATAATTTTTTATTAGTAGACGATTTATAAATTAAAAAAGGTTTTTATGAAAAAAAAATCCGTAAATCTCTTTATGCATTGGCAACTTGCTTTGAAGATGAGAAAATCTCTTTTACTCTTAAATTTTTTGGAATAAAAAAATATTCAATTAAAATTTTTTTTGACCAATATGGTTAAGTAGAGAAAATGAATTGGTGTAATAAAAAGATTATAACATTCCTTACACGTTATGAAATAAAAATTTAATAAAAAATATTTATTTATATAATATATATATTTTTAATGAAAATGAAGATTTTTGAGGGTTTATTTCTCCAGAGCTTTTCCAAATAAAAGAGAGGGTGTCCTAGCTCCTCTCTTTTCCTCTCGATCCAAACAAATTAAGCGTAAGAAACTCAAGTAATTTAAATTAGATATCATGATGATTAATTGGACAGTTAACCCAAAATTTTTAGCTTTATTTTATAGTTTTGTACTAACAATAATTATAATTGATAAGTATTAATTGTAAGACTGTTTAGAAACCTGACATCAATTCCATAACACCGTATACTACCATTTTACTTTATATATATTTTTTAATAAGATTAAAGATATTTTATATTTAATTTTAATTTTAAAAATAATTTTTAATATCTACATTGTCATATAATTTCATACGCTAAAAAATTTATTTTATTTCGATGTTAAAAAATGAATCAAAGTTAAATTTTTTTTTTCTTGTGAGCTCTTTCTTTATTTTATTATTATTAGTATTATTTGCATTTTCTCATTTATATATGTGGGGTAAACTCAACAGTTTATTTATAGCTAGAGCAATAATGCACGGAAAATCTTGCTAGATACCGAATTTTACAGTCATTATTATTATTATTATCATTTTGATTTTTTACCATATATACTAAATTTTAATTTTAAAACCTAAAAGATTTGGGGGGAAGCACTCTTGGTAACCGTCTCTTTTGTTTTGAATTGGACTTGTATTTGTTAAATTTGAGTTGAGATCAGCTCGGGGACCTTTCTTTTTTTCTTTTTTTTTTTTCTAACTTTTAATGTCAAATCAAAGCATAAAGATTTGGGTGATAGGTGTGGCCTTCTGGGACCATTGAATTAAAAAAAAAGAAGAAAAAGGCCCCGAAGACAGCTTACTCTAACCAACGAAACAAGACAACATTCAAGACCAACCAACTACCTTGCCTCATGACCTTTACCTCAATTTTTTCTCACGTATACTACAAAAGCTAAGGCTAGCTTTTCTTGCAAACCAGACACCATCGTTGGCCTCATTTTCTTCCTCCCGCTTTTGATTAGTCAATATTAATTATGCAGCTTAGATTGCTTTACTAGTAATAAATTGTTGAGATTAATTGAGGGCTAATATATTTAAAAAAACTCTTTTTTGGGGGAAAATAAATGTATTTTTCTAGCTCATGGTAGGAACCACCAAACTCGTCTGTGTTTTAAGAAACCTTAAACAGTGCCAGTGAAATGAAGTGATGAAGAATCTATGGTTGCATGCAATTGTCATGCAAGCTTTCATGATGTGATATACCATTACTAATCTTGATGTGAAGCTTTTTCTTCCCATCAAGAAAGAAAGATATACACTATATATATATATATATATATATTTATATATATATTTATATATGAAGAGAGTAGTCCTAATTTGATTGTTAGAGGCATTTGGTAATGATGTGTGGAAATTATTATATATAACAGCCATGCATCAAACCTTTTGCTTTCTTATAATCATAATATTCATTAGTCCGACGGAAACTCCCCCCCTACAGATATTAATCAAATATTCTTGGATCTTGACATGATTAGGTTTATACATCAATCACATCTTTTTCTTTCAAAAAACAATAGTTTGATATGTGTGGTCTAGAAAGTGAGTAAAAAGACTAATAGTCATGTACAAGCTAAAGATTTTCTAATTTTAATTTTTGGATAATTAAAAATTTTTCTTTTTTCTTATAGATGATCAGATATTAAATTTTCATCACTAAAATTTATAAAAAATTAATATTCTATCAACCGATTACCCAATTATTTACAGTGTTGGCTTTTTTTTTTTTTTTTTTTTCATTTACTACTTTCGGCCTACTAAACTTTCACTAAAGCAACTTCTACAATATCTATACGTACATGTTTCTAGTCAATAGGCTTAGGTAAAATAACTTCACCGCTGTTAACTAGGTTGTCATATGCATGTATTGAGGTTTGACTTAAATATTTTAATTCGAAAATTAATAAAATTATAAAAATTGAGGGTTTATTTTATATTTTATTGAAAATTTAGTAAAGTTTAAGAGATTTTATTTTTATAAATAAGGTGTTTTGATTTTAGTTTATTAATTTTAAGTAGTTAAATATGAAAAAAATTATTAAGTGAGTAGGTTATTAAAAGGATAAAATTTGATTTTGAGTAAAAAATTTTTAATAATTTATTTTATTCTAAAAGTTTTAAAATTATAAAAATTTATTTATTAATAAATTAGATTTGAAGTAAATTACTTTAAGTTAGATTGAACAAATATATTTTTATATTTTTATTTTTGTTTTGAACTTGTTCTATTATTTATGTGTAAAGTGTTGTATTTGTATGTTTGTTCCTAACAGTAAGTAATACTAAGAGTTTTTTAAAAACTCACTTTGATTGATTTTTTTAATTATTATTTTTTTTTACAAGAATAAATAAAAATAATACTAAATGAATTGAAACAAAAAGCAAATATCAGAAAAATAATAATAAAAGTAAATATCCCATTTCCTTGATTCATCTTCCTCGGGCAGATGCAATGATGAATCTGACTAAGTTGTTGCTTAAAAAGAAGAAATTGAAACATCCAAAATTTATATAACTACAAGGCAAAATTCAGATGAGAAATTGCAATCAAATGATTCAATTATTTATCTTTCTCACAAATAACATTTGCTTGTAAACAAACACGCCTTTTATATATCTCTGTAACTATATATAACTATGATATATCACAGACTTCAAATTCTTAAACATGGTATCCTTCCCCCTTTCTGCGCACAGGTACATATATTCGCCAATGAATGACATGATATATTCAATCCTATACAACACATTGACATTTCAAATCAAACCAAACCAAATACACGGCACAAGAAAATTAATTAGAGACTACAGGAACATGTTACCCTCCCCTTCAGCCGCAGCAAATGAAGAACAGTTCCTGTGAAGCAGCTCCTCTATCATTTGTAATGCAATTCTCTCCTCTTCATCCATTTCCCCTCTCATTTCAGGTTCTGCTAACCCTGGGGTCTTGGAAGGCAATGTATTTGCAGAAACTTCAGTATTTTCTTTTCCAAACTGGACAGTCATCACCCAATTGGAATCTGAGCTCTGGCCTGCCCGCTTTTGCCACACCCCTATATGAGAATTCTCAGTGTCAAGCCTCAGGCAAGTCATGGAAGGAGAAGGTGCCTTGCTACATTTTCTAAGCTTGGCATGAAGGACTTCAGATAGCTCATTTGGTGGTGATGAATGGGGATTTTCAGTGCCTTTCGGGTCTCCACTTGGTGTTTGTGATATTGGGAAGTTGGTTTTTGCATTCCTGCCACTCATTAAGATGGCTGCTTGATCATAAGCTCGGGCTGCCTCTTCAGCTGTTTCAAATGTACCGAGCCAAACTCTTCTCTTTCTGCAACAAAATACAGCAAAATTAAAGGGGAAATAAAAGAAGAGAATTTTGAACATTGGATTATACTATGTTTTTGCAGTGCTGTTTTATTCTTGCGAATAATCTATCCCCCAACCAATGAAGTAAAAAACAAAATTGAGAAAAGCTTGTAGATTAGACTTACAGTAAAGGGTGGCGAATTTCAGATACCCATGAGCCCCAGTGTCGCTGCCTGACACCTCTAAACTTCTTTGATTGAACCATAATTTGGAAACAGATGGAGGGTTCAATTTTTATTCCCCTTTTGGGTGGCTCTAACAGATGGAGGCTTGAAACTGAAACAGGTACGGAGAAAGCAGGCTCAGAGAAGAAGATCCATCATGTATAGAGATGAATGAAGTACATGCTATCATATATGGAGAAGAATGGAGATATTGAGTGGAAGGTTTAACTGAAAAGATGCATTGTCGGCGAACTAAAAGGCTTGTATTAGGAAACTCCGCAATTAACATTGTCACCTACACCTTCCGTCCTTAAAACCATGGTAACCTACCAAATAAATGACTGGACAATTACCTTGCATACTACTCTGTCGTCAGCTGCTTCCCATGCAATATAATTCCATGTGATTGAAATAATGTAAAAGTGACATTGATGGGACAAAATTTTTCATCAAACCTATGATTACTTTTTTTAAGACTATTACAAATATTAATGCAGAATCAAGTGTAAAGAGAGGTTATTATCCTAGCAAATCAATGATTTGGACAACGATTTATGGCATGTTTTCAGCTAATCTTGTTTGCCTTTTTTGGGAAGTTTTATGAACTTCACATGGAGGAGTTCTATTCATGTAGGCCAGGGATTATAAAAGGAATCAATGAACTAATTAGAAGATGTTGTTAGACCACTGGATAAGGCTGGGGAAATGGGTTACCATGTTCAGCATCAACTGCTAGGAAGAATACAGACTGATCAACTTGTTCCTATAAGGATTCTGAGTACAAAGCCCAAAAATGCAATCTCTTGGAAATGTATGTAATGACTTGGTATCTCTTTTAAGATCAGAAACTGACTACTCACCAAGCAAGAGAAAAATAATTATCGTTGCACACGAGTGCACGCACCATGGGACATAATTTCAGACTTTATGACTCTCAACAAATTGGCAAGTCTTTATATAGATTTTGAACTCACTGTTATATCCGTTCACCTTAAATTCTTTTTTTTTTTCCATCAGTTGAACCAATCAGCAAGGAATTTGGTCAGTCAAAGAACTTTTTCCCCCTACTTACCTACGGATTTTAATTGTATGCTTAATGCTATAATTCACAGTTTTTTCATATAAGACTATATAACCTAAGAAAACTAAATTTTCGGTTCAAGGAGCTATCGATAACTTAGAGAGACTTAACTGGAAAAACACTTAGATCTGCAACAGTTAATCACATGCTAGATGCCTCTCCTAGTGATTTTTAGACAGCTTGTAAACTTTTTCCTTTTCCATTAGAAGAAGAATGAAACTTATACATGGAAAGGCTAGATTGTCAAAAGTAACCATAAAGAAGTCTAATTAATGTGGTGAGGTTTTGATATTATTTGACTCAAAGTTTCGCAATGAATGCATGTCGTGGCTGAATAAGAATCACTAACACCCAAGTCAAAGCACAGAGAAAGAATTAACTCGGTGATTATCAATATTAATTTTGCCTGATTTGCCATCGTGAGACCAGTAATGTTCTAGAATACGTCCATAACTTGAGACAAGTTGATTTCATCTGCTTGTTCGAGAAGTTACATTTTTGTGGTGCAGTTTTTGGATTAGTAGCAAGTAAACATGAAGGCAAGTAGGATGCAGTTTTTTCGATGGTTTTTACGTAACCTTCTTATTTGCTTAATTTTGCCTAATTAAGCCAGGGCTAAAAGAGAAATTTCAAAACCCTCCTCATTTCGGAGTGGTGATGCTGAGTGCTGACGTATGAAATTTCAAATTTTTACATATATACAAATAGTTGAAAAGCTGCCCGATCAAAATTAATGAAACAGTACAGTTTAACCAAATAGATAAAGATGGTGCAAGGTAGACAGAAGAACACAAAATAAATGAGGAGCTGAATCAAGATTTGATCTTTCCTTGCGGTTAGAGAAACGCCCCGCCGCTACCTCGCTCACCGTCAGCTTATTATTTCCTTTATCAGTACTCCAATGCTCACGACAGGACGATGAGAAGATAAATATATTTGTACTACCTTGCCTTGGTAATTGTCTAACAACGAAACTGGACTTCTTGCTCCTAATTACAGTATTGATGATGAGGAAACAATTGGACCCCTTTACAGCTAGATGGTTAAATGTCAAAGAATACAGCACATAAGCTTCAGCCCCATAGGCCAAGGAACGGAATTAAAGACCTCCCAAATAAATTATAACTTTCATATCCCATGTGTAACCTGTGGTCCTTTTTTTTCCCTGGTTGGTGCCTTGTGGTTTACCAACCATTTTTCTCATCGAGTCATTGGCCCGATCCAGCTAGCATTTCCTATGGTATGGCTGGTGAGTAGTGAGATTCATGTGATTTAACTTTGTGGTTACTTGTTCTTTAAACTACAGGAGTTTAGTGAGTTTTTGAGATGCACCGGTGCAGTTACATTCATGAGATTTTGCAACTATCTTGGGGTAGGAAAGGGAGAAGAGGAGTGAAATTAAATCTCTTGTTCCATAAAGAAGTCATTTAAGACTGGAATGGAATATTGTCTTCAAAATTTTCCAGGTATACGGTTGAGGAGTACCGTACCTTCCAGAACATGAATTCTAAGCAAAAAAAACTTTTCTTGCAGCATTTCCATTTGAAGGTAAAACATCTCTCACAACGAATGTGAAATTCCACCCTCTTTCCTTTTTTAATTTATAACCCTTTCTGATCTAAAAAGAGCTGAATGTTAAAATACGAAGTCATTTTGTTTATCTGTGTGATTGTTGAAGTTTGCTTTGATCGAGTGGTTGGTATCTCCTGTGGCTGCTTTGAACCCTGGGCTATTTGGGGGATGAAAACCCAGCTCATGACGCTAGATGGTGAAACACTAGGCACATGGCTCGACTCTAATCTAGAGTTACAGCTTCAGTTTCGATTCATCATCTTCAACTAACTGAACAAGACAAATTACCCATGTACGTAGGCCGTAACCATGCGCAATGGCTTGCTTAGAAAAAAAAAAAAAAATCAAACCATCTTCACCGGTATACGTACTAGGTTCGTGTATTTAACATACGCCACGAAATCCAAAGCAAAATCCACATGCCTGACATTGATGTGTAGCCATTGATAGAATTTTGTTGGCATTGTAGACCCCCATTCATGAATATTGTTCAAAACAGACTGGCAGCTCGCTGAAAATGCGCGGTCCAAGTGACCCAGAAATAGTTTGCAGCATTATCATGGCACTTGAAATGGTCTTTGTCTTCTTCTCCCTTCTCTTTTTTAAAAATTAACTGCCCCAGCAAAGAGAACCCTCCGCAATCAGGTCCTCAAAAAATGATTGCTTTTGTGTTCCCTTGGGCTTTGGCATGTTATTTCCAGTGTTCCCTCATTTTGTTCAGTATACTTATTTTGGAAAGAATTTGCAGAAAGATTACGCTTTACAAGCCAGCAAAATATTAGAACATTTAACTAAATTGTGTAAAGGATAAGAACCACACAAAAAAAGATAAGCTAAATCGACGTCTCTGCCTCAAATTTTGCTTACAACTTTACATGGGAATGAAACTTTAGAGAATGAAACTGTAGAGAAATATAAACAAGAGAGAAGTGCTCAGGGACAGTTACGGTCAGCTGTATAGCCATGCAGTGGAATTGCGAAAGAGAAGATCAGAAAATGATTTTCAATCAAGAAATATCCTTTCTTCAGCCAAAAAAGTTGTACGGCATGACAATATGTTTAAAGCAAAGGAGTTCATATAAAACAGAAATATCTTGGGGCAGTATACCCAAAAAGCAAATTCCCATACCGGGTAAAATGTAACATCACTGGCAATAATCTGGTGCTATTACAAAACCATAAGCTAAAGGCACAAAAGGACAGTGACTCGAGAGTTTAAGATAAGATTGATAACGGGTCGAAGTCGAGGTGAATTTTTGTTTATTTTAAATTTGATTTGATTTTATATTTATAAATTTGAATTTGATTTAATTAAAAAAAATTTTAAAATTTTTTTATATTAAAATTCGATTCGATCTGATATGAAATTAATAAAATATTATTTTTTAAAATATAAAATATTATTTTTTAAATATAAATATATAATTATATTAAATAAAAAATTTTAAAAATAATTAAAAAATAATTTTTAATATAATATCGGGTTAGGTTTACCTGATTCGACTCAAAACTCTATTTTTTTTAAAAAAAAATTAATCATATAAAGTAGAATGGGATCGAAATTCATCGGATTCGAATTGGACTGTCAACAATATTTAAAAATATAAACAAGGGCCTTGAGTATCATTCATGTCATTATTACTTATAAAGTTTAAATTTAATTTATTATCAGTTAATCGTAAAATAATATTTTATTATTAATAAGTAAATATAAATTCTTAAAATAAATATACAAAAAATTAATATTTTTAAAAAAATTTAATGAATTGATATTATTTGATTTTTCTATTAATAAGACAATATTATTTGATTGATTGATTGATAGGGCATCAAGTATCCCAAACATTGCAACCTGCATAATTCTCCTATATATAATTTCATTGCAAAGAACAGCAAGTACTTGTAGCAGCATTTTATAAGATGCCCAACAATGTGGGGTTAGAGGCACAGATAAGAAAATTCAGCGAAAATGCATTGAGCAAAATATGCCATTAATATATGTAATCATTCAAATAGCAATATTTATCTACTTAATTTCAATTTTGATCTAAAAATCATGGTAATCATTTGGAAAATTAACGTAATGACGACTAGAGAACTTTATTTTCAATGATGCAAACAGATACTCAGGCAATTGACAAACTCAATCTTACGTTACAATAACAACAGAAGTCTGTGTTCTTCATGACAAATTAAGACAAAAGTAACAAGTATTGAAAAGTTGATCAGCATATTTTGAACCTAATACAACTGCCTATAAATCAAACAGGAAGAGAATAACAAATCCGATGAGGTAAGTTGAAAGAAGTACCCATGGACATGGTTTAAATGCGTTGGAATCAGGGACAATAAGAGCACCTGAGTTACTACATTAATTCCGAGAAGTGGGTTTTTAACAAAGAAATTAAAGCATGGGACTTCGTCTTTCAAATGAAACTCTGCTACCAACAATTAAAATCACCCAAAAAATTGCAAAACCCCTTGAAAATGGTAGTACCAATTGTAAGCCATCACCAGCAATGGGGCCAGAATCACCTGTCGGGTTATGAACGGCAGCAGAGCGTCAGCCCTTCCTCCTCCAACTGCTTCCTCATTTATGTTTTAACTTAGGTTAAGGACATGAATGAAAAGTTAAAAAGTTTTGATATCATACTTTAAGTTACGAAATAAGAAAAGATATTTATGAAATATGGTCATTAAATTAATTTTTTCTCAAAACGGGACAGAATAGATTTGCAGAATTAACGTGGCCTTTCACTATTGGCTCGAAATTGGAGAGGACCCACCTAACATTCAACCGTTTATAACTACCAGTCTTCTCCACGGAGGGAAAGCCCCAGAATCACCACCCAAACCCGAGTTTTGCCCTTTTCCTAGTCATGAAATCTCCTCCAAAACCTCTCATACCCCAAGCCCAACTCACCTTTGAATCTGTTCCAAGTCGCTCACCACCTCCAAAACCCACCACGCTACCATGCTCAAAGGCAAAAAGCTCAAGCTTCCCGATAGGCTTGGCAGCTTAGTAGCTGGATTCGACGACAAGGATGACGATAGCGGAGGATCCGGTTCGATTTTCGAGTCGGGAGAAGAGCTCGAGATCATTCAATCAAACGGATTCGCGTTGGATCGTGAAAGCGAGACTGATGATGATGGTGAAGTTGAAGAGGAGACAATGGTGAAGAGGAAGATGAAAGTGGACGGAGAATTGGAACATAACGGGCGGCAACAGAGGCACGAAAAAGACGGGTCGGACCATCTTTGGCTCATGAAAAATATTGAAGCAGATGAGAAAAGGTCTGATCTTGAGTATGAGGTGAGAGATTTAATTGGTATTTATTGATTTGCCTTTTGTTGCAGTTCACTTTTTTTTAACATGATTTTATGGGTTTTTTTTAATAAAATTTTAATCCTTCTTTTTCTTTTTGCATAATTCAGATTTCCCAGAAGGAGATAAATTTGGAAAAATTGCAAAGAATTGCTAGCACAGGGCTTCCTGATGGAGGAGGTTTGCGTGCAACAGTTTGGAAGGTACATTGTCTAATATCATTTTATTAATTAATTATTTTCTACATTTGAGAACAAGTATTATCTGTTTTTTAGTTTTGAATGTGTTTGAAAAAGGCTTGCAGATATCGTGCATTGGTTGAGCAGATTATTTCTAAACTTTTTGATATTTGAACAGTTGGGAAATGAATGTTAAATACATAGAATAGTAATCAATTTAGGTATTTTAATGAACATTGAAGAAAACTAGGCCGAATTATCCCCTTTTCCCGGTGTATGATTATACCAATGAATTGTTATTACATGGTAGCATTGGCTAGCAGAAGACTCCGCTGAGTTTTGAAATCTAATGCTTATATTCATAACTAGAATCTAATTTGTCGACTCTACAATTGCTGCTTCATACCGATACTTGTACATTTCCCAGGCATAATGACAGTTTGATTTGTTCATGTTTTATATTCAGTAGAAGTATTTATTGTCTTTCAATGTTTAATTCCTGCAGCTGCTCCTGGGTTACTTACCTCCATCTCGGAACCTATGGGAAAAGGAGCTGACTGAAAATAGACAAAAATATGCTAAGCTGAAAGAGGAGCTTCTTTTAACTCCTGTAAGATACTGATTATAATGCAGCATACGCCTAGTCAAGAGAATACCTTACATGTTGATGTAACTATTAAGATAGTACCTAGAATTTTCCTCGCACTGATCTATTGAATCTAGTCAGCACTTGCAAGGATTAAAGAAGAAGCATTGCACTCTAATGAGCATAATAACGCTGATAGTGATACTGATGGACCACTGACGCGGCATGAAGTGTCTCATGAAGATCACCCTTTGAGCCTTGGTAAGGCTAGTGTTTGGCATCAATACTTCGAGGTAAATCTCTTCTCATAAGGCATCAGTCATCACTTGATTTTTTATGCTATAATTTAGCTTATGTGTATGATAACGGATGCATTGGTTTCCAGCATACAGAGATTGCAGAACAGATTGACCGTGATTTGCAACGCACACATCCTGAAATGAAATTCTTCTCAGGAGAGTCATCGTTCAGCCGGAAACACAGGGTACATGACTTCATAACTTTTTCTTCCTCACAACATGGTGTATTTTCTTGTCATGACACTGTAACACTTGGTTCAATCTATTAGCACACCAAATTCTGGAATATAGGGAATTGTTTGACTAAAATATAGATGACTAAGCATCTAATGTAGTAGTCCGTGGGGTTTAAATTCTCACTCAGTGTTGCGATGCTTTTCAATTTACAGGAATCAATGAGGAATATTCTTCTCCTATTTTCAAAACTCAATCCAGCTATTCGTTATGTCCAAGGAATGAATGAGGTCTTGGCACCAATATACTATGTATTTAGTACTGATACAGATGAGCAGAATGCAGTAAGAGTCATACTTTATCCTTGTTTTCTTTGACTTGAGAACATTTGTCATATGATTCCTGGTCATTGTCAGCACTGTAATCTTATGATTTTTAGGAGAATAAAATCTGAATTGTAAAATATTTATTTGCTGAGATGGATTAAACCTATGAATACAAATTTGTTACATCAGCTTATCTATGAGTCTGTGACTACTTTTGGGAGTAGGCATAAATTCTATAGAAGTTGATTTCTCTTAGGGTATATAAAGTTCCCAATCAATAGTTTTTCTTAGCTGGCTATATAGTTTCAATTAACTGAAGAAATATGACCAGATGGAATTCTCTGAACATTAGGTTGTGCTTGCTGTTTGGCATGAGTTCTAGCCAAATTCTCAGTTACAACACTTAACTCATATCTTAACTCCCAGTTCATCCATGAACAATTCCCTTTCTGTTGTTCTTTTTATTTTGTTTACCTGAACTTTAATTCTATGTTTCCTTTTCTTGTTGGAAAGGAACCAAAAGGAGGGCATGGGGATTGTTTAACAGGTCAACTTTTCTTTTATTGGGCCAAATGATTTCCTTACGGACATGGGTTGAACATCATGAGAAACAAGTAGAGCAAAAGAAAATGCATTATCTGAAAATTCAAGCAAATAACTATGATCTTGGCTGTAAATGATACTTATACATTCATTTTCCGTTCTGCAGTCTAATGCAGAAGCAGATAGTTTTTCTTGTTTTGTCCGACTCTTGAGTGACTCAGTGGATCACTTCTGTCAACAATTAGATAATAGTTCTGTGGGCATCCTTTCTACTCTTTCCCGCTTGGCAGAGTTATTGAAAGCCAATGATGAGGAACTGTGGCGGCATCTTGAAAACACATCTAAGGCAAGTTTAATGGAATTATAAGATGTGCTTTATTGGGTGTTCAAGTAATCAATGCATACCATATCAGTTTTTGTTGAGATACATAGCATATTTCTTTGTTTTTTAATCCTTGTGGAATCCATTGAGTCATTTTGATTTCTGCTTGGGATCAAGCTGCATCAAGCCATCCTTCATAAGTTATTATCGTCAACCATGTAATCTTATTGTACTCTGCATACTCTTATTCTTATACCATGTATCTTAATGAGCAGGTTAGGCCTCAGTACTATGCATTTCGGTGGATAACTTTGCTACTTACTCAAGAATTCAATCTCCAATCTATCTTAAGAATCTGGGATTCTCTTCTGAGTAATCCTTTTGGTGTGCAGGTCTGTCTCTCTCTCTGCCCATCCGACTTTGCTAACAATGCTATTATTGAAAGTTTACTAGGGATTTATTTGAATGTTCCCTCTTTCTATATCAGTTTTTGAGAATTTAAACGAGCACTTGTTGACAGCAAACTATCCCTTGTGCAGGATATGCTTCTACGTGTTTGCTGTGCCATGCTGTTGTGTGTTAAAAGCAGGCTTTTGAGTGGTGATTTTGCAGCTAACTTAAAGCTATTACAACACTACCCTGATATTAATATAGAACACCTTCTACACGTAGCCCGAGACCTTAGTCCGGACACCTCTTCCTATCGATTGTCTTTGTAAATTCACATCACATGCACTTTTGTAGACAAAGTTATCTCTCGACATGACTTGCAATCTTTAACGAAATTTAAGCTGTTGAACAAGTTGTTATCCAAAACTTTTTCATCATATTTTTGAAGGATGAAAATCAGCAGCATCAATTAGACTGAAATTAACTCCAATATTCTCTCTCTCTCTCTCTCTCTCTCTCTCTCTCTATATATATATATATATATATATATATATATATATGAATGAAAATGTCATTGATCAATAAATAAAAGAAGCAGCTCTAGACAACTCTTTTGATGATCAATAACTAAGAGGTTAATTGAATTCTATATTAACTTTTACTAACCCCGGCCTGCAATGAAAAGATTGCTCTTCCTCGTAGGGGAAGCCCATCCAGAAACTTGAAAATAAGTTATTAAGGGCTTAATTGATTCATAATACAGAATCCATATCACCATGAAAGAAGATAAGAAGCTTATCCACTCGAATACCAAATGGCTAATCCTGCTGAGGCGTAGAAGATGAAGTATATATCTACAGCAGCATGTTTAAGCCCCGGATCCTTTGGAATAGACTCTAGTGTCATAATTCAACTCAAAAGATAGTTTTAAAGAGATGGATCCTTCGTGATAGTCCATGTTGCAACCTTATAGATGGTTATGATTCATTAGCGAGGCCCATTGCAGTTGAATTTTTTAGCATATATTTTATATTTATGAACACAACTGACAATAGTTGCCAACTAAGAAAACAGTGGTCAGACTCGTAGGAAAAATTCATGCTGCCGTGTTATCCGTTAAAGCCATTTGCTGCATAGTTTAAAAAAATCCAATTAATTAAGAAAAGAAGAAAAAGGAAGACTTTTCCCTTCGATTGTATCATCTACATTTCTTGTTAGTGCCTTAGTGGTGCAGAGATTGACTGGCCGTTAGGCATTGAAACGCGGTTGCTTCTACGTCTGACGTACTTTTGCATTTTCAATCGTCGGTTGTTTATGCTGACCCTCGATTGTTTACACTAATTAATGGATTCGGTGTAGGAAATGAGACAAGTTGTAACATGACCGCACATGGATAAGGACTTAAAATAATTTCAAGTGCGCTCGTTCTGGAAATTTCCACCCTTGGCGGCAGCAAATAAGCATAATGCCAGTAAGAAAATGTATAATAGATATGTCTAACCTTGCATGCACATTTCCATTGTGAAAACGTAAGGAAAAGAAAAATTGGAGAAAAATTTTCACCTTAGCAATTGTAGAAATACATGATAGAAAATGGAGAAGGATCCACATTAATAAAACTACAATAAGTACAGGCTCAACTATCATCTCATAGCCAACACATCCAGCAATTGTTTCATATCCAAACCAACGACCTTGTCGTTAAGAAGGGCAACTATTCTTTTTTTTTCCCACGCTGTATGACCAAGCCATTAGTACCGTTGTTGTATGCTAACATCAGCAGATATTTATAATAAAACCATTTAGCAGGCATAACTAGCTAGATTACAAACTAATTAAGTTTACCTGCTAAAGCGTTGCAGCCAATATTTTAGATTTGTTCAACTTCCATTATGTACTTTTCTTGCTCTAATCTGTTATCCGTGCAAATATTTAACCAATTTGTATGAGGCACAACTGTCTCTGACCCGTGATTCTGGATTCTTGTTCTATAATTTTTATCATTTTTTATCCAGGTTTCTTGACTTGGTTTCGACCGTACAAGGTTTTATTAAAGCCTTACAGTTCATATCAGCAATCTTTACGTTTGTTTATGCCTTCTCTTCTCAAGGTCAGATTGCTATAAATAGGTCATTTAAGTTGTGTGGTTTTTGGAAGAGAAATAGGGTAAAGCATGGGACGTTTTCTGCTCCACGGGACACTTCTTGTGACAAGTTACGAAGTTGACAGGCTTTCTGAAGCTGCTGGTTGCTGCAATGTTTTCTGCAAGGTATATATATACTCCTTTTGATTTGGTTGATTAATGTTTGTCAGTTATCACCAAATCATCATCTTAATCACATACTTCGTAAATCCGTTGTACAAACCACAACAAAATTAATGCAAGCCAATTTGTTTAGTGTGGGATTTTTGCATTTTCTTTTCTTATTAATTTCATAGTCTGCTTTATATATATATATATATATATTTGTACATAAAAATTAGTCTTATTGAGTTTTCACTTAATTAAGCTAACCTTTTTCCATCCTTTAAACCCCACTTCTTCACAAAAAAATGAACTTAAACCTTTCAAATTTTAAGACTCCAATGTAAGCAAACAATTGATTCAGTTGGTTGGTACATGATTCTCTACTTAAAAACGAGTAAGGTTCAAACCCCCCTTTCCCAAAAATTTTGCTAACATTCAAAAGCCTTTCTGTCATTAACTAGTTGGTAGGGTACCGGATAAAACTAGCTCGCAAGTGCACCTAAGCCTTCTTCATCCCAAAGGAGATTTCTCTTCAACTCTTGCCAGTTGTGTACCTAGCAACTAGACCAAAAAAGAAAAGATTGACTGTACTCCAAGCATCAAGACACTACTTTTAAGCATCAATTTTTCAAAATTATATGGCATAATGAATTATCCATGTTTGTCTAACCTCTTCCTGTATGATTTCAGAATTTCAGTTGCTTCCAGAGAGACAAACACTGGTCTTTTCAATTTTCTAGAATCATACAAATCTCACTCTATATTATACTTTTTGATCAAACACGTTTCGTCGCTCTGTTTTTTCAACATGTTCCTAGATTTTTCCGGCAATCTTTCTACTTTCCAATATTTTATTTTCTCCTTAGACCTTGTGAAGAAAAAAATGAAAAATTTTGGACAGATTCTGCATTGACGTGAACCTAGGATATAATATTCTATATATGTTTTCGTTGTTGTTGATTACATAACTTGAAGTGCAAGTTTTGATGTGAAGTCAAACAACCATTTAAAAATCTCTAAGTATCTTCCTCGTCAAAGTTAATATGAAACGTTGTTGTTCTTTCCTGCAGCTAATACAAAACGTTGAAAAAAGTGCTGGAAATGGAAAAGGAATTTCCAAACTGTATGTGACCATTGACTTGGAAGAAACCACTGTTGGCCGAACTAGGCTGTTAGAAAATGAATGCTCTAATCCACAATGGCATGAGTCATTTCATATATACTGTGCCCATAAGGCTTCCAATGTTGTTTTTTCTATCAAAGAAAATGATCCTGTAGGTGCATCCCTGATTGGAAGAGCTTACTTACCTGTTGAGGAACTACTAAATGGAGAAGTAGATAGATGGCTTAAGGTTGCGGATAAACACCATAAACATTTTTACAGAGCTTCCAGGATCCATGTCAAATTGAAGTTTTTTGATAAAACTCGGCACCCTAATTGGTCTAAGGGAATTAAAAGTCCTAAGTTTCCAGGAGTCCCATATACATTCTTCAGTCAAAGAGAAGGTTGCAGGGTTACCCTTTACCAAGATGCTCATGTTCATAACAAATTCATTTCTGGAATCATCCCTCTTGCTGAGGGCAAGTATTATGAACCACATCGATGCTGGGAGGACATCTTCACTGCTATTTCTAATGCAAAACATTTTATTTACATAGCTGGGTGGTCTGTGTACGCAAAAATAACCATGATTAGAGACTTGAAGAGGCCAAAACCAGATGGAGATTTGACACTAGGTGAGCTTCTTAAAAAGAAAGCAAATGAAGGTGTTAGTGTTTTGATGCTTGTTTGGGATGACAGAACTTCTGTTAAGATACTTAAGAAAGATGGAGTAATGGCTTCTCATGATGAAGATACAAGAGAGTATTTCCATGGCACTAAAGTCCATTGTGTTTTATGTCCACGCAACCCTGATAATATGCATAGCATTGTTCAAGACATAGAGATTGCTACCATGTTCACTCATCACCAGAAGATTGTAGTCGTTGACTGTGAATCGCCCAATGGAGAATCAAAAAGGAGGATTGTGAGCTTTATTGGTGGCATTGACCTTACCGACGGAAGATATGACACTCCCTCTCATCCCCTTTTCAAGACTTTAGGCACAATCCATCATGATGATTTTCGTCAACCTTGTTACCATGGTGCCTCAATTGCTAAAGGAGGGCCAAGGGAGCCTTGGCATGATATGCACTGCCGATTGGAAGGAGCTGTTGCCTGGGACGTATTGTTCAATTTTGAGCAGAGGTGGAGGAAGCAAGGGAAGAAGGACTTGCTAGTTCAATTACGAGAATTGGATGGCATATTAATGCCTCCATCTCCAGTAACATTCCCTGAAGATCATGAAACATGGAATGTTCAACTGTTCCGGTCCATTGATGGTGGAGCAGCCTTCGGCTTTCCTGACAACCCTGAGGATGCAGCTAGATCAGGTCTTGTCAGCGGAAAGGATCATGTTATTGATCGAAGCATTCAGGATGCATATATTAATGCCATTCGTCGAGCAAAAAATTTTATTTACATTGAAAATCAATATTTTGTCGGTAGCTCTTTCAGCTGGAATTCAAATGATCTTAAGGTTCAGGAGGTTGGTGCTTTACACCTTATTCCGAAGGAACTGTCACTTAAGATCGTTAGTAAGATTGAAGCTGGTGAGAGGTTTACTGTCTACATTGTCATTCCAATGTGGCCAGAGGGTGTCCCACACAGCCAATCTGTTCAGGCAATATTGAATTGGCAGAGGAGAACCATGGAGATGATGTACACAGATGTAGTTCAGGCTCTGCAAGCCAAGGGACTTGAGGCAAACCCCAAGGACTACTTGACATTTTTCTGCCTTGGCAACCGAGAGAGAGCAGTTTGCGGGGAATATGAACCTTCGGAAAGACCTGAACATGATACAGATTACAGTAGAGCTCAGCAATCTAGGCGTTTCATGATCTATGTTCATGCAAAGATGATGATTGGTAAGTTAATTTGACACATTTCTACTTGAACAGTTGAAGTATTTCCATTAGCTAGGGTCACATTCTAAACTTGGGACCATATGCTTTTTGCAGTTGATGATGAATACATTATAATTGGATCTGCCAACATCAATCAAAGATCAATGGATGGTGCCAGGGATACAGAAATTGCAATGGGGGCATATCAACCGTATCACCTAGCAGCCAGAGAGCCTGCCAGGGGCCAGATTCATGGCTTTCGAATGGCATTATGGTATGAGCACTTAGGTAAGTTTGATTGCTCCTTTCTCCAACCAGAGAGCTTGGAATGCGTCCGGAAGATGAACCAGATTGCTGAGGAGTACTGGGATCTCTACGCATGTGACACATTAGATTATGACTTGCCAGGGCATTTGCTAAGTTATCCCATTCGAGTTACCCATAACGGAGAGGTGATAGAGATTCCAGGGTTGGAATATTTCCCAGATACCAAGGCCCGAGTTCTTGGATCCAAATCTGAGATTCTTCCTCCCATTCTCACTACTTAATTTCAGTTGTCTAATAGTCAAAATGATTATGTTCTTTGATTCTGTGATTTAAGCAGCAGTGATTCTGTTTGGTTGAAAGTAACTCTAATAAACTTATAGAAAGTGCTAATGTGTAGCTCTCACACTTACTCATTTGGCTAATAGAAAATGGTTTGTAGATAAGAATGATCCGAGCATTCTAAATTGTTTTCCTCAGCAAAATTCCTAAAATAACTTTTTTGCTGCTCAACAATATGACTTTTTTTTCTCTAATCCAGGATGAGTTAAAAGAATTTGACAAAATCTGCGAGGGCCTAGCCCTGTTCCAACCATCAATTTACCTTTGCCCCTTAGGGCCTTATCCATAACTCCCTAGTCCCTATCCATACATTACTAATTTGGTGCACCCATGAAACCAAGACCTACAGTTTTCCTTTTGATTTATTTTTCTCTTTTTGGAACAGACCAAAAAGCTCCAATATTTGCTGATAGAACTTTCAATGCTTGTTCAATATTTGACAGAAAGTTGTAAATATGCAAACAAATTCAAAATATGCTTTTGGATACAAAAAATTAATGCTCAGCTTTAATTTCCAATATCTAAATGATATTCTGCCAACGCATTCCTTCTAACCTGTTGACTTCCAAGTTGTAATACCATTTCTTCGAACACCAAAACATGTTTTTCTATGGAAAGTGGAAACCATTTTCAAATTCCACAACACCTTATTTTCTCGACATATATTATTGTTGCTTGCGGACTACTTCTAAAACCAAATTTCACTTGCAGTCTTCTTTGCTCATGACTTCATTGGTAAGGTATCTTTGGCCTTTGCAGAAAACAATAACCAGTGGGCTCCATCAGTAACAGTAAGACTGCAATCTTTGTCTACCAAAGCTTTTTCTTTTGGTAAATCTTTGACTTTAAGATTGTCTATTTCATCCCTACGGCCTAAAAAATTATAATTACTACGTGGAAAAACTGTCCTTTCCTCTTCAGTCTGTTTCCTTCTTTTCTTGTCTCGGATCATCTCGCCCACAATTTTCCAACACAGCCATTCATTGCATTCCCAAAGAATCGAAATATGAAAGCACAGTTTCCGCATCAAGTCAACAACGTGTGGCTACAAATTAAGTTTCAGAACTAGGAAAGAAGTTTGCCTCAACTTTTTTCTGGATTTTTGTTTGTGTCTGGGGAAAATTGTTAATAATGACATGATTCACGTTTTGTGAAAACAAGTTCAATATCACCGCATAAACCAATTTCACATGTAGATTTCATGAGTTTACTATCATCACCTAAACCCATGCTTCTTTTTACACGCATATGGGAAAGTAGGTGACTTTAATGGCTAAAGTCATGCGTTTTGAGAGACCATTTCCGGATACGAGTTGTCCTACTTGGCTAAGGTTAATTCCTATGCCAAACCAAAGAGAAAGCTAAGAAAAAACCCTTCCCTCATCCGAATCCCATCTCTTGCTTTGCTCTTTTTGATACGAAAAGAATCTTCTCTAAATCAGAATGATGCTTAAAAGCAGATCGTACTCACTCCTCCTAACGTGTTCATCATTCTTCCGTTTCCTCCTAACTATACGTAACATCTCCTGATTTTGATGTTTATACTCGACGATTTCACTTTAATTTCTAGTGGAAGTACATTTACCATCTACAAAATTCAGTGATTCAGTGATTATTCGATTTTAAAATCAGAACATTACAGAAAATATCTCATGATCGTCAAATGCATTGTATTGCTGAGTCTAGTTTCTTTGTACTTTCGATTTGATCATACGATGAAAAAAAAAAGTAAAAACACCCATATTTATCTGCAAGCTTGGACGAAGACTCTTTGGTAATTAGCCTAACAAAGCTGCATATCTAGTCGCTACCTGCTAGAGGACATAAATGATCAAACACAAGCATGTGCCAATGAGCCCAGAGAGCAGCTCATTTATAATCTCTGGTAATTATTAAAGCTCTTAGCCCATTGGTGGCAGAGTCATTTTCCTATCCTGAACCAGACCTAAGCATCTTAAAACTCCATTGTCCAATCTTTTGGCATGGGAGAGTCTGATACATCATGGGTGACACAGGCAAAAGGTGAATTAACCATAAATTATTGATCAACTGTACTCTACATACGTTCTTTTTCTAAAGCGTGAAATCCACTCTCCAGGTTCAGGAAACAATTTGAGGAGTTTGTAAGAGTTTTGCAGACAAAAGTTAGCATATCTTCTCCGTACATTTTATATTGTCCGTTTCTTACGAGTCTTCATCCTTTTGTTTTTTATGGAATTAAGAAAGCAGATGAAATTGCCGTAAAAAAATCTGCAGGAAATGATTTCTATACACATACAGGATTCCCAATGATGTGAGCAAAGTTGGTTTAGGCTAAGATAAAAACTAAAAGCATTGAAATCACTTTTATCACTTTCTAAATTATGCTAAAAAAAAAAACGGCCGACAATAATGAAATTAATCGTGAACAGAGGCGGCAGCGCATTAAATTATGTTTTTCCAAAGAATCTGGAAATTACAAAGAACTGATGAAGAAGAAACAGAAAAACCTACCTACAAATAATGCGTCCTAATCACGCGCTTCCAAACCGTACAAAATATTGAACTGACAATAAGATATTGTCCCATATACTCCTTCCCTAAGAAGCAATAGACGTCACCAGCTATGGTTTTCTCGTCGGCCTTGCCGTGTAGTGCACGCCCAGAAGTTAAGACTTGAGAGAGCCCAACCCTATAGTCCCCTTAACACCCAAAACACCATGCCTTAGGCTTTCAGCCTTTCATTACATAGTTTTTTTACAGAAAATTGTCTCACATTAAAATAAACACTAGAAAAAAGAAAAAAAAAAAAGGACCCACCAATCAGGTCTTCCTTTGTTTTCTATATATATAAAATATGTAATAAAATAAAACATTGCCCATTTGATTCCAATTCTTTATTCAGCGTTCAGTCTAGTTTATGTTATGACACTATTTATCTAAGGGCCAGAACTCCACCTTCCCCTTCCCCAGGCAAAATCAAACGAAAGCATCATTTCTAATCACCCATTTCAGCCTAAAAAAATTTATTTTCTTGGTGTTTTAGATTTTGGTTCTGTTCTGATAAAACATGGCTTCAATATTGAGCTCACAAGGGGTGGTGTTAGCCACAGCTATGGCAGTCTCCGGCACTGTAATTCTCCTTGCTTTTCGCCTTCAGAAATCTTTCCCTCTTCCACTTGATCAAATACCCCAGACTTCTCAACAAGTCCTCCGCTCCTGCATATCTTCTGGTACATATATCCATATCCATAAACAACTATCCATCTAGCTTTACTATTGCATGCATAAATTTTAACATCTTTGTTTTCTTGGGTTTGTTTTTGTTTAAAGGGGGGAAGAAGAGGGAAAAGAAAAAGAAGAAAGTGCACTTTGCGGAAGATGTGATGGATCCGAGAGGGGATGGAGAAGAGTTCAGGAGACAGGTGAAGAATCCTGTTAGAATTGGTAGCAACAATTCTCCAGCAGCTTTAAACTCAGCACCAAAGCTCAAGAAAATTGGTGGAGGTAAAGATAGAGGAATGCCTGCTAATAGAATTGCTCTTTACAATGGAATTCTAAGGGATCGTGTTGTTCAACGATTGGCTTACTCTTACTGATCAGGAAAAAAAAAAAAAAAGAAACTGATTTTGATTTTTGTTCTTGTACTACCAAAATTGTGCCTATTTCTCACACAGTTTGTCTGTAGTTTGTAATTTTGTAAATAGTATAGTATTTTTTTTCGTTTCAATCTTTGTTTTTGTAAAATGTTTTAATGATGGTACTTGCTAGTCTAATTTTTTTTTCTATCTAGTCTTTTTTTTTCTCTTATTTTTAGTTTTTTTGTGGGTGAATTCATTTGTTATTTTCACTTTTTTTTTATTGGAAAAAGAAAATTTCCAATCGTATTATTTAAATAAGAGTTTATACGTCAACTACCACGTAAAACGCTGGATGCTTGTTATTTTGACTACGTAGTTTCGTGATTGAAAAGGAAAATCTCAAGTTCACATAATTAATTTTAGCCAACAAATTGTTATTAACGTCACAACCAATGTATATCTATATATTTTTTGATAAAATTTTGATAAAATTTGATAAAATATTAGGAAATATTGATAGATTTTTGTAACTTATGTTATAATTTTAGTAATATTTAATAAAATTATAATAATTTTTGTATAATTTTGATAAATATTGATCTAATTTTTATAATCAGTTTTAGGGTTTTAGTAATTTTGGATATAATTTGAATAATTTGTTTATATATATTGATATTCTTTGATATGATTTTTATCATTTTTAATATAATTTTTATTTTGGTAACTTTATATATAAATTAATAACATTTATTAGAAGTTTTACAATGTTTGATAAAATTCGAATAACTTTTGAAAAAAATTTAGTAAACTTTGATATTATTTTTGTAAATTATGGTATGATTTTGGAAACTATTGATATATTTATCAAAAATTTTGATAAAAATTTAGTAATTTTTTATATAATCTTGATAACAATTGATTGTAATATTTGATAAAGTTTAGTAATCTTTGATACAATTTTAATAACATTAGATATGGTTTTAGTAAGCTTTTGATATAATTTTGATTTTGATAACTTTGATATAATTTGTTAAATCTAGATGCAATTTTGATAATCTTTAATATAATTTTTTATTTTGATAAATTTTGTTAGAAATTTGATAGCTTTTAATAAAATTTTGTAATATATGATACAATTTTTGTAATTATTGTATTATTTATGATCATTTATAATATGATTTTGTTAATTATTGATAATTTTTTTTTAACAAAATTTTAGTAAATTCGATATAATTTTATTAACCTTTAATATAATTTTGATAACTTATAATATAATATTGTTAAGTATTGATACAATTTTAGTAACGCCAAATAACTTTTAATATAATTTGATAATCTTAGATACAATTTTAATAATTTTTTATACAATATTGATAATTCTTATATAATTTTGACAATTTTTTATTTTTTTTCTTTAATTAATAGTATAATTCATTTAGAATTCAAAAAGTTATTCGACAAAAACAAAAACCCAATTATCTATACAATAGATTAAAGTTGTTCTTTGAAATCAATTTAATTTATGAACAACTAATATTTGTTTTAAAATATGATGTGAGGATTAAATGGTTATAAAATTATAATATTAAGCATATGCATGAATTTTTTGTAATTTCACATGAAAGGTAATAACATCAATTTAGATTTTTTTTCACTTAGATATTGTATGCAATTATCTATATAAAATTAAATTTATAACTATATATAATAGTATATTCTTATTTTTTACATATATAATAGTAGACTCTTAAGTGTCAAATAATTAGTTCTCTTATGAGACTTCTAATCTATTTTTTATAAAAATTTCTTATTAAAAAATTAAAAAATTTTAATAAAAATGTTTCTCAATAAATATTTTTATGAAAAAAAATTGAATGGAAAATTATAAAATATTAATAATCTATTAAACATGAATATATATACATGCATACATATGAATACATACATTTATTACTATATATTATAATTAAAAATAGTCTCCTAATTTAATTAGCCCCCCTTAGAAGACTATTATTGTATTTTTTATAAATATTTTATTATAAAAGAAAATTATTAGGAAAAAAATAGAAAAATCTAATAAAATACTTCTTGATAAATATTTTTATGAAAAAAACAAAAAAATAATAAATTATCATTGATCAATAATCAATTAAACATTTATATAAATAAATATAATACATACATCTATTACTATATACTATAATTAAAAGTAACTTCCTAGTTTTTACAATTCATAAATCTTAATTGAGGGACTTATTGCTTGACATTTGTCAAGCAATTAGGTTTTCACTAATTTTTTTTTTTATTTAGTTAAAGAGCAAAACAACGTTTTGTATATATAAAAAATAGTTTTTCAAATAATGTTTTAGATTATATAAGGTTTAATTGAACGAGGTCCTCACCCTTTTTTTGTTTTTTGTATTTTATTTTTAAAAAAGAAAAACACCAAAAAAAATTAAAAATAAAATCTCTTGAAAAAAAGAGAAAGAGTTTTTTAGAAAGCCTCTTAAAACATATCAATTTGCTTATTGTTTACTAAATTAAATTAAATTGTAAAAGATATTTAATTTTAAAAAAAACTCTTAAATTGAATTTTTTTTATATTTTCATACATAATTAAAAAAATAAGTACAATTAAATTTAAATAATTTGTATTATTTTAAAATAAAAATAGCCTAGGTGTAATTGAACAAGTTTTCTAGTTACTCGTTGAAAACAAGACATTAACTTGAAATTTTAAACAACATCTACAATCTATAATAAAGTTTTGTTATTGTTCATATAGGTACTAGATTTAGAAATTAAAAAAAAAAAACTTTTCACACATATTTACATGTCTCCAAATATGTATCGAAAGAGATCCAAGCTTTGGAAAAGCTTTGATTAAACGAGATCAAACCTAGAATATTATTTAATTAAATCATAAAAATTTTAAATAAATAAATTTTACATTCAAATAAAGATATTTTGTTACTACAATAAAAAATTTATTAATTAACAGATGATAATTTTCATGAATTGATCATTTGCACGAACAATTAATTTAAGAACTTTGAGAGCAAATAGATTTTGTGTATCTCTATTTCTTATTTTGTTTTATGATTTTTTATTAAATTCATATTAATTTCAATACCTAAGATTTATGCTATGGACGATTAGAAGTAATATATAAAAATTTTTAATTTTTGTCAATAATCATGTAATTTGTTGGTAAAGTGGTAAACTCTTAATTCAAATGATTAAGCTCAAATTTTAATAAACTCAAATAAAAAAAATTAATTTTCATAGTACCAACCAAATATAACATTTTGCAAAGAGAGCCGATAAATTAAATGTAATTTTTTTTAATTTTTATTATCACTAATCAATAGTTTTTTCATGAATTTTTATTTAAATGATAATAATAATAGAAGTAAATATATAATAATTAACATAAAAACTTTGATTTAATAAGTATGAAGCCTAGCTAACACAAACATATATTTGCCCCTTAACGAAATTTCTTACGATATGGCAAACAATTTAAGCTTTGTTTACAGGTAATGAGAATGTGCTTTTATTATACATGCCAATTTTAAAGATGATAGATGAGAAAAAAGATACAGAAGAATTATAATTTATAATTTTAATAAAAATTATATATGAATTTAATAAAAATATAAAATGTGCTTCATGTTTAGTATGTTAATACAAACTATAATAATTTTTTTTATATTTTATATATATTTAATATGAAATAATCATCACATGTATACATAAATTGACCAAATTTTTTTTTAATTTTATGTAGTTGTTTCTTCACGACATGGAAACTTTCTTTCACATGGACATGTACGTAACAAAACCATGCGCTAGGATGCTTCCTTTCTCACTTTTCGGCCTCACATTATATGCTACTCTACTTAATTATTTAGTTATAACTAAATATAAATATTTGACTTGAGTTAATTTTTTCTCTTATTTTTCTTTTTTACACGGGTTAACTTTTTTTTTTTTAGTGATATACATAGTTATTCTTGCTATCATTTGTGTAAATTTGAAAATTCGGATATTCTTATAATGTAAAATACTAATAATTCGTGTATCTATTTTATATTTTACATAAAAATTACATATCATAATTTAAGTCGATAAAAAAATACAAAATACATTTTTTTTTATTTTTGTTGAAACCTATAAAATTTTAAATTATATATCTTTTATGTCTTGTTTTATATAATATTTCGTGTCATATTTTAAAAATTTTTCATATCATTTTTGTATCATATTTTAAATTGCTGAATATTTATGTGATTGACCTAGACCTCATCTTTAGTTTTATTATTAAAATAAAAAAAAACGAGTGTTTAATTGAATTTAGATCTTGGTTTTTGAAGAAAGAATTTTGAAATTTGAGTTATACCTTAGAAATAAAATTAATTTTTTTAATAAAGGTGTTTCAAAATTAGGAAAATTAAACCAAAGGTTCCCTAAGACATAACAGTAATTAAAAAAAAAAAACATAAAACCATAAAACCAAAATTTGTGCCAAGGTGAGATCATATCATTAATTATTTGTAACATACAAATATTTTATCACATAGTTAAGAAGAAAGTGTTAATTGGACTCCATATAGGGTTACAAACATGAGTGAATCGCTAAATTAAATTAAATTTTCTTTAAAACGAAATAAATTACAATATTTTCAATATTGTTGATATATTTTTTATGTTTTTAAATGAACCCATTATTTTTTAGTTAACATTAACAATTTTTTTTTTAATTTGATAGCGCATTTGTTTAACTATTTTTGTCAATTTGGAAATTTTATAGCACCTCTAGAAATAATCATTTTACTTATAATTTTTTTATTTTAATTTTATAATTATTTAATTATATTAAAAATTATGTAAAAATTCATTATTTATGAATATAAATTTCATATAATTATAAATTATAATTTATTAATTGTATTATAATGATCGTAAAGTATACGTTTCCAGACAAAGTCAAGGCAGGAAAGCCTTAAAAGAGAAGGCATCGGCAACTGAAAATGTAGTTGGAATGGGTTGCATTGAAATTGGAACATGTATTCTCACCTCATCACCTACCTTGTCTTTTCCATTGTATATATATATATTTTTTTTTTTTATTTTGGAAGTGCTAGTATGTATCTTGCGGGGATCCTTTGTGCTTCTCACATTTTTTCCTCTATTTTAACTTTTTTTTATAAATTAAAATCCCTTTTTTTTTTGTA